GTGTATAAGGGAAAAAAGGGAAAATGGAATAAAATAAAATACGGGAAATTTTTTTAATCTCGTCATGGAAGCTGCAGTGTGAGACAATGATTCATGCCATAAACCCCTTTGTGCATTTATCTTTACTTGCAAGTGTTCATTACAAAGAGTCATTGGTCTGGTTCGAGGCCTTTGGTTTCTACTATCTTATTGATGCTGGGCCCTTACTAGGGCTCCTCCTGGATAACCTGTTATTGCCCTGTGTTTTAGAAATCTTGAGACTTTAGGTCGACAGACCAGGTATCTTCACAAGCTCCAGCAGATCATAGATGGGGTGGATAGTGGCTCAGGTCAAGTCATATGCTTAGGCCTGGACCTGTGAAACTGTAGGATTGGTCTACCAGATGTCAAATGGGGACAACTCTCCCATGCTTACAACTTCGGGGCTGGCTCACATACACTTTCACTAACAAGTATGGATCCACTGTGCTGCACTGGTGAGGTACAGGGGCTGCTCTCCCAAGTATTGCACTGGTGGGGGTCGGTATAGCTCTCCCACGCTATGATCACAAAGCCAGCTCTATCACTTGCCCCAGATATTGATGGGTATGGGGGAGGAGGGCAACTCTCCTCCAAGATAGCACCTCAAGACAGATGTGTAACAGGGACAGATCTCCCATGCTCACAAATTTTAAGCTGGCTCCTTCACAACCACACTACCAAATTTGGCTATATTCTGCTTTTCTCCTGAAGTATGGGGTTTGCTCTCCCAAGTGTTGCAGCTGCTGGGAGTCAGAGATAGTTCTCCCATTCCTATGACCACAGGACATCTGTCTGGTCATGGCATTGGTAGGCATGAGCTTGCTTCCTCCCCCTTCCCTCATTCAGTAATGCCTGGTTCATATGGAAGAGCTGGTCCTATGGTCATAAGTGCTCAAGGCATTCTTTTAATTGATGTCCCCTCTTCTCAGATGACTTATATGTGGTGACTCAGATGTGTCAAGTTGGTAGGAAACCATCCAGCACAATTGACCTCATATCATCTTGACACACAAATACATCACCACAAAGTTACCTTTCCTTTCCCATTCATCCCCGAGATCTCACATTAAATTCTAAGTAGGGGCTGGAAAGATGGCTCAGCATTTATCAGCACTGGTTACTCTTCCTGAGAACTTAGGTTCAAGTCCAAGTACCAACATGGCAGCTCACAACTGTCTGTAACTTTCTTCCATGGGATCCAAAACCTTGACACAGATATACATTCAGGCAACACACCAATGCACATAAAATAAAAATAAGCAAGTATTTTTAAAAACATAAGTAAATTCAAAATATCCCACAGTTTTAAGTGTCCCACAATGGAACACACTAAAATTTCACTCAGAGGTTAAGAGTACTGGCAGATTTTCCAGAGATCTTGAGTTCAACTCGAAGCAATTTCATGTTGGCTCACTACCAGCAATAATGAGAGCTGGAGCCTTATTCTGGCATTCAGAAATACATGCATGCAGAACACTAAACATAATAAATAAATATTTTTTAAATGCAGTCTTGCTGGGCAGTGGTGGCACACACCTTTTTCCCCAGTAATCAGGAGATGGAAACAGGTGGATCTCTGTGATTTCAAAACTAGTCAGATCTACAGAGTGAGTTCCAGGCCAGTCAGTACTACACAGAGAAACCCTGACTCGAAACAAACAAACAAACAAAATACACAGAAAAATCAGTCCCTTTATCATATCCAAATCTTTTAAAACCCAAAAATGTTTTTAAAAGTTTGAAATCTCCCAAGTGTGGGTTTTTAAAAAAATAAAAATTAGGTTAAATAATTCCTTACTTTTAGAGGGAAAGGTACAAAACAAAGTCTCTCTCTGACAAATAAAATCCACTCTCCAACTATGTAATAGTTCGATTTCCAATGTCTGGATCCACTTACTATCTTCTGGGTTCTCCAAAGGGCTTAGGGTACTTCTTCAGCTCTATCATCTGCAGCACACACAGCTTGCCTTCCAGTCTCAGAATGGCTCCACTCTATAGCTGCTGCTGTTCTTGTCAGTCACCCCACAGTACTGACATCAACCACAATGATGGTTCTTCTGCTGTAACATGGCTGCACTTTCATCAATGCCTCTCATGGACTCTCTTCATGGTTCCAAGTCTCAAATTCTCTGTATGACTCCTTTAATTTTAGACCTTCAACTGCTAGTGTACTTCCACCTTCACCAATGGCATCTTCTGGCTTCTCACAGTGCCAAGTCTCAGCTGGAATCCATGGCCAAATCATGGCTTCAAAACCAGTACCACCTGGGTGACTCTCACACCATCAAATTTGACTGCCAGCATGAAATACAACTGCCTCTGTGTCACAGCATCCGTGTGCCATCAGGAACCACTTCTCAGAAGATTTCAACTCAGCAATGCTGTGCTTTTTTTTGAGACATTGTTTCTCATTATACTTTTAATACCTGTCCTGGAACTCACTCTATAGCTTAGGCTGGCCGTGAACTCACAGATATCTGCCTGGCTCTTCCTCCTGAGTGCTGTGATTAAAGGCAAGCACTACCACCACCGAGGGCTCTTCTTAATCACCACTATTTCCTCAATTACAGCCAACCAGCGTCCAGTATTTCAGAAAAACAAAGGTTTCCCTTTATCAGTTCACATATTTTGTTAATCATAACTGGTAATTCAGCCCCAGATAACCAGGGCCACAGAATCTTAATTCAAAATGACAAATGGCTCCAATAGAGTCTTTATCTTCCCTCTGAAACTTCACAAGCCATGTTCTCATCTTCTGCATTGCACTCAACATTCTTATATTCCAAGCTACTATGGAACAGCTCCCATTAGGTAAACACTCAAAAAATTTTCTTACACAATATTTCAAAGTCCCTCCATAGTCCTCCTACAAAACAACATGGTCAGTTCGGTCAAAGCAAGACTCGACTTCTGGTACTACCTTATCTTAGTTAGAGTTTCTATAGCTACAATAAAACAACATGGTCAAAAAACCAAGTTGGAAAAAAAGGCTTATTTTACATACACTTTCACATTTGAATCCATCATTGCAGGAAACCAGGACCAAAATCAAACAGGAACTGAAGCAGAGGCCATGGAGAGGTGCTGCTTACTGCCTTGCTCAGCCTGCTTTCTTATAGAACTCAGGACCATCAGCCTAGGAATGTCACCACCCACTTTGACCTGGGCCCTCTGCTAAAGTGAAACCTTTGTTTGACTGAGATACTGGATGCTGCTTGGCTGCAGTTGAGAAATTAGTGGTGATTAAGAAGAGCCCTCGGTGGTGGTAGTGCTCACCTTTAATCCCAGCCCTCAGGAGGCAGGGTAGAATGCATGTGTAACAGTAGATGACCAACAGAAAATGAACTCTATGGCATCTTTGGATGTTTCTTGTCTCACAATATCATGTCAAGGTGTTTTCCTTTTTTGTTTCTTTATTTCTTTGTTGTTTTTATCTTTTTTGTTTGTTTCATTTTGATTTGTTTACTCTTCTTATTTTTTCTTCTCTCATTTTACCCTATTAGATTCTTTGACTATGTACAATGACTACCTGTCCTGGAACACATTTTACAGTTCTTATGGGACTGAGAATGTGCAACCAAGTGGGTATCTGATTTATCTGATTTTTCTTGGCCTCCTTTCCTTCTATTTGTTTGTTTTGTTCAATCTAATGTGTTATTGTTTTGTTTTTTCTTAGTATGTTTTATTTTATTTTCATCCCATGGAAATCTCTTTATTTTCTAGTTATAGACAGAAAAGGTTTTTAATTCTGATGTTTATGTTTATGTGTGTGTGTGTGTGTGTGTGTGTGTGTGTGTGTGTGTGTGTATGTGTGTGTATGCATAACAGTCCTTGGAGGTCCAAAGAGGACATTGATCCCATCCAGATACTGTTACAGGGGGGGTGTAAACTACATTTCATGATATCTGTGTATGGAACTATGCCACTTTACAAGAGCAGTACATGATTTTGTCTGCTGACACATCTCTCCAGCTTCTGCAATATCTGTTTATTGAAACATCCATGTCACCCCTAAGTTCTACTTCGCTAAATCCAAAGATTCATCAGGATTCTGTAGTCTTCCTGCCAACAAGGGGTAGCATTTTGTTGCCTTCATCTGCAAACATGAGGTCACAAACTTCCTTCAGTTTCTCCAATAATCAATTGCTGTCAAAGTCTTACATTCACTAAGTTATCAAAAAGAAAAATCTGAGTTAATTTCAAATCTTATTACATTTTAGAGACAAAAAGAACACTTCCACTCATCACTAATGTCCAAAAGCAAAGTCCTGTAGAAATTGGTGGCTGAGTAGAAAGTTATGGGAGGTAATATAGATAAAAGTAGCATACATGACACTGATAAACAACACCATTAGAAGAAATAGTGAGAGTCATTAGCTAATGAATAATCTGGCATTGCATCCTAATAGTTGGTTCTGTACCAACATTACATTTGTCAGTTGAAATTTATGAAATGTGAGTCCTGGAAAATGTTTTCTCCCTTAACTTTTGAAGAGAATTTCTATCTGGTTTTAGCAAAATGATGTAGCACTTGGGGACAAAGATGCATCCCAGCAAGCAAGCACTGGAGGCTAAGATGAAGAAGACCTCCACAGCCACCATGACCTTCCCTTGGTGCTGTGGTAGACAGGCAGAAAAGTGACCCAGACACTGCAGAACAACAGCATGCTGAAAGTCATGAACTTGGCTTCATTGAAAGTGTCAGGGAAATTCCTGGCCAAGAAAGCCACAGTGAAGCTCCCCAGAGCCAGAGAGCCCCGGTATCCTAAGACAGAATAAAAAGCAGTTACTGAGCCCTTGTTGCACACAATGATGATGTGGCCATGCTCAGAGTATGCATCAATGTCAACAGAGGGAGGAGAATCTCCCAGCCAGAATGCACAGAGAATAATTTGGATGATGATGCAGATGGGAATGAAGTAGGTTGGTGCCCCTGATACCAGGAGCCACTTCATCCTTCTTCCAGGAGTTGTGACTTTGAAAGCCAAAACCACAATAATTGTCTTGGCCAACACAGTGGAAACAGCCACAGTGAATGAAACTCCATATGTTATTTGCTGTAGGATACAGGTAGCTGAGTTGGGATGGCCAATGAAGAGCAAGGAGCAGAGGAAGCAGAAGGTGAGGAAGACGAGCAGGATGTAGTTGAGAGTGAGGTTATTGGCCTTCACAATGGGAGTGTCTTGGTGCTTCACAAAGATCCCAAGAACCAGAATGGTGAATGCAGACAAACACAAGGCCATACAGGGCAGAGTCATCCCCAAGAGGTCATCAAAGGCCAGAAAGGTCACATCTTTGTACAAATAGGGTTCTGCTCTGTATTGGCATACTGGTCCTCTGGACACTTCATACACTGATCCATACCTGAAGCAGAAAGCAAAAGTATTGTTAGTGCAACTTCAGCATTCCTTATGGACAGGCCACACCAGTGTATTCTGCATTTTGGAAACTTTAAAACATCCACATACTTTATTGATAAAGATGTAGTTGAGACTTTTCTGAAGAGCATGCATCTTTGTCTTAATGTCTATCTCTTCTAGGACAAACACAGATCCTATTGATTCACTATAATATGAATCTTTCTGTCTGTATTAGAAGTGATACCCTTAAGAGAGATGGAGACTTGGTCTCATCCAGGATGAAACCTCTTATAGCTTTTTTTTATTCCCATATGATCATCACAGAATACACGAGTAGCCCAGCAATAGCAAATAGAATCGTGTGTGTTTGTGTATGTGTGTGTGTGCATTTGTATGTGAAAGCAGCAAATGAAAAATAGTGTTTGAAAATAGTAAATGAAAATGAGCTCAAGAGTTTGAGAGTTTTGTTGCATATGATGTGTGGGAAATAGAATGAGGAGAGAGGCTGGTTTTATAATGTATGAAATTCTCAAGAAAAATATTTAAATATGATGCCCTTAGTTGTGTCTTCATCAGGGATTAGGGATAGCAAATAGTTTATAAAATCCTACTCTTAAGGTAGAAAACTCAATACATATATAGCACCGAGAAATCTTGTATCTTATACCACCACCTTAGTGAGCACAGAGCACTTGCTTGTTTCCCCAATTTCTTTCTATATGACACCTGTTTGGGGACCTGCACCCACATTTTTCCCCTGGGTGTT